CCCCCCCCCACACCTTGTAATTCTTCATGCTTGTCTACAGACACAGTCATTAAATGAGTCTGAACGATTTCTTTTCACCTAACATCTCTTAAAATCATTCTACAATCTGTGCAGCAGAGCTGCAGCCTCTAATTTGAGATGAACTCTTCTTAGCCTCTGCAGCGCTCAGGCAGGACTTGAAGCTCTCTTTGTTCATGAAAAAAAAATTGAATCTGTCAAGGGAAATCTCTATTAAGCTGTCATTAGAAATCTTCCCCCAGTTCAGCAGCAGTGATGTTTGTGTAAAATTAAATTACCATACCTAAATAGGGGGTTCTCATCAAATACAATTTGCATGGTGAAAAAGAGTCTAAATTTGTAATCTTTACTGCTCCTCTCATCCATCATACATTTAAAGACACCGACGGTGACAGCGTGAAATGTAAGGTGTGTGTGCTCTTGTTCTAGTCCTCCCTCTTCTTTGTAGTTCTTTCTCACCTGAGTTGAGATGGCAGTCTTTGATCTGAAACTGAGACTCGTTCTCATTTGCAATGTCTTTCCATGTGGCAAGGAACACCTGTCGCTCTGTGGACAAAGAAACACAGACGCTGGATAAACAACAGAAAGCTTATGCAGAATTAGGGAAAAACAACAAGCCTAGTGCATTAACAAATCTGCAGTGTGTATGAGTGATATAAGGAGATTTTTAGTTTTCTTAGGCTTTAGAGAGTTAGCTTTCAGCCACAGCCCTGCTGCTTTGCTCTGTAGAAAACCCTACCAGGACTTTAACCAAAAAAATAAACGTGGCAGCATTGGCAGCATGTTACACGCTGTACACATGTTCAGTGCAGTTGAAATGAAGAGCTGACTGACGTATAAGCTTTTTGTTGACGTCAGCAGGGAGATTTATGGCTTGTGTGTGAAGAGTTTTAGCAGCGACACACTCACCCATCTTTCCATCCTCTACAAACAACACACTGATGGGATATTGGCAGCTGAAGTAGAAGACGTCAATGTTGTTCTTAATGGCCACCTGCAACAGTAAATATATCAATTAGTAACAAAGAGGCAATACATTAGTTAGTACTTTTTCAAGTGCTCTTAAAGGATTTCCTCCCTTTGGTTTAGAACTGATGTTTCCTGAAGAAGAGGAGTCAAGTGCTGTGGGCATCTCACAGTCTGACAACTACAATGAGGCAATTAAAAAAAAAAAAAAAAAAAAAGCAAATCACATACATTGTTGTGATTCCTACGATAGTCTAGATATTATGGACAAAGGTTTATTGGCTGATATGAGAGGCAAATAATAAAAAATAGGTTTTAAAAAATAGAAAAGCTATGAAACGTATCCTAATGTTTCTCTTCTTTACCTTCCAAGTTTTTGTTTTAAACAGAGGAAAAAGAGAGACAACAGAAAAGAGGATCATTGTCACTATTACAGCCAACACCAACACTAGCACCAATCCTCAACTTGAAAGTTGCTTGATTTGTCTGTAGGTGGCAAGTCATGAACCGAGTCTGAAGAGTCACTATATCTAGCATGAAGGTTAATTGGAAACTGGAAAGTAAAGAGCTGCTCTGATGTCATGCAAGTTTGTCACCAGGACCCAGGACATGGGGCAAGTTCTTAAAGAAACAGTCTTTGGACTAACAATGAAGAGATTATTGATAGTGATGCTTTCAGTGTACTAGGAATAAAATATTGTGTCAATGCCAAAAATATCAGGCTTGAAGGGGGTTCACCTTTTAAGCTCATATGGCCCAGCTGTGTCAGAATAAACACCACTAGTGTGTTTAATACTAAGAATGAGATAAAAATGACATGTCTGTTCATGGAGTTTTTTTTATTGTGTTTGTGTGGATCTGACTGAATGCTCCACATCCCTCACGCAATATTCTTTTACAATGTTAGGACTCTAGGTAAGGTACAAGGAAACTGATTTGATTAAAAGACACAGTTGAGGTACATTAGTATTTCAACTCACCTGTGCCTGTAAATTAGTGGCAAAAGAAAGACACCGTGAGTTCAACCAGGGAGAAGCACAAGTATAACTTGTTAATAATTTATAAGGGGATCTGATTTCTGGGTGCAATGCAGAGACTGCAGCAACTGTAACCGTTTCCTCAATGTTTACCAACTATAACAGCTACTCTGTAAAGAAATTACTGAAATATGGTCAACATGATGTATGCCCAGTGTACAGGAAGATGTGTGTGTGAACCGCAGGGCAAATACTACATTCACCCTCCCTGTTTTTGCTGAAAAAACACAGCATTTGCCAATATATTTTTCTTTTGAAATTTTATACAGCTGCTAATTTGTATGTTTTTCTTTTTTCATGTCCCTTGAAGAAGGCGTGTGAAGGAAGCCTTGAACACATTAACCAATAACTTGACACACCTTAACAGCTCAACATCATGCTAATCATCTGCAAAGTGTTTTACAAATACACGGCCAACGTTTAGATAATGAAGCACCCTATCACAAAAGCATTTCAGTTGACAACTGATGAATTGTTAAGTGTTTCTTTGCACAACTCTTTTAACGCTTTTATATTTTACAATGTAAATTCAAAACAAATCAAGTGTCACTACTAATGGTCTTCGGTACCATAAACAGTGGCTAGCACTTCATGCTGCAACGTCAGATAATTTTCCTAGAATTATGTAATGTGCGATGAAAGGTGATGGAGTGATGCAAAGGCAACTTAAAGACAAGAAAATCTGACAGTGGAAACCATCTAAGCAGGTACTGGAGGCAGCAGAGATACAAATGTTAGCAGGATGGCTGAGGCTCAAGGAAACGCACCAGGAGTCACTAATCACCACCACCACCCACTTCCATCACTCCTCTTAGTTCTCCTATCTGTTCTGTCCAGCTGTACAAAGCATCTTACAAACACACTGGCAGTTAAAAAGAACCAAGCTGATCAAGAGCAAGCATCTGCTGTTGTGTTCTACCTCACTGAGTAGCTATGTTGGTCTTTTTTAATTCACAATAACACAAATTAGGCAATGGATGAATACGATTAGTATGAAGTTTTCATGTTTACTGCATATGTCTCAGGCCATGTCCTTCAAAGAGTTAATGAAATTCAATAGGAAATGTTGTCTAAATTCTCAGAGCATTAACTGTAGCTTGGTAGAACAGTTCAAGTCACTGTTGGTAATGTGATGCTGTGTCTCCAGTTTGGTTTATGGTTGATATATTATGGATGATAATTCTCATCAGATGTCTATTACTGTTGACTTAATAACATAATAATGAAGGGAACTCACAGATGACCAAAAATAGAGCACATTTTACATCAAGACATTAAATGATAGAATAAAATGTTCAATTTGCACAAAATAAACCTTAAATTATTTACTCAGCAGACAGAGATAGCTGTCAATCAAATTGATTTTAAATTAGACCTCTATTAGCCGTCTCATCATTGCAGCCGTGGAGTGCAGAAATAACACATAACCAAACTTGACAGTAAAGATTAGGGTACGGGTAATGAACATTATTTCACCTGCAGGTTATTTAAAGGCTCCATCTTCATTACAGGTCCAACAGTATTGAGGGGAAGGCTCACTTCAATATTCTGGTTGGGGCTGAGAGGAGTCAGTACCTGTAATGGACCAGCTGGAGCCAGACCAAAGCTAAAGGGAAAAACAAAATGAAAATGAATGCTGTGTAACTCTAAATGGGTCGTTCTGTTTATTAAAATGAGCAGGACTTCTTACCTGTTTCTGTTAAACTGGATGGCAAAACCAGTCATTACACTCATTGCTTTATTGGTGATGGTCATTTCCATCTGGATGACTCCAGCATGACGAACAAAGGTGCCTGAAATCTCCAGACCTTTAGCTTTCATGGCCGGGAGCCAAACCTGAAATAAATAAAGAATTTCCCCTTCAGTGTCGGGTAACTTCACTTTTGTGTTATGTTTCTTTTCATCTCATTTAAGCTCACAGTTTTGGGAGGACAGAAGGAGCCCAGAGGCATTCCAACTCCATTATCAAGATCAAAAAGGTCATACAGACTTCCACTGACAGGAGCACTGAAAGCAGGTGGCATTGCAGCCGGTGGAGCACCAAAACCAGCTCCCATCTGTGACACAGCACAGCATGTTAGTTTTAATGTTACTCTGATTCAAACAAAGATATCTTAATTCAACAGGAGGGAAATGTCTTACAGCAGGACTTCCTCCAAGGTCTCCACCAAGCTGAAACAAACAAAAAATTACTGACATTAAAATGTTGTTGAACAGATAAGTTTGGCAGATTTGATGTGAATGGAAAGATGACAGGAGAGGGCAACAGCAGGGTGAGTCAGTGACATCTATGGGGTTTGATCTAACACCACAAAAACAGCAGCAAAGATTTCTCAATTTTTAACCTCTGTCTACCATGGTGGTTTTTAGAACTGCTAAAAGGAAAGTGCTGATCAGAGGGGGGAAACCTGGATCTACATAAGGCTAATGCTGGTCTGAACTGGTCCAGAGAGGACCAACCTCAGTCAGACTGTTTTCTGGAGATGAAGAGGACTGATGTGGGAGCGGAGGTGACCGAGGAGTGTCGGACCGCAGAGGAATGGGTGGCTGAGCGACCGCCCAGAAAGAGGAAAAGAGATGGATTCAGTGTTTTCAACAACATGCATTCCTGACATTATATCATAAAAACTGGAGGATGACATATACAGTGAAAAATTGTATCGTCCTAAAATGACACATTCATAAGTGTTGTTCCCTTTCCCTCCATGCAGTTACCGGTTCAGATTCATCCCCCATCTGCAGGTGCAGCATTGAACAGAGGACAGGAAAACACAAAGAGTCAAAGGAAAAGTGGAAGAAAAGAAAAGGAACGAAAGGCATCAAAGAGAAAATATTAAATTCAAAAGTTCACTTCAGCAATGGTTTGTAGAAAACTCCTACCAAGCTGTCCAGTCCTCCTCCCAGCAGGTCCATTGCACCCAACTGCATGCCACCAGAGTGTGGTGGTGGTCCTGTGGTGGCAGGTGGTGTCAGATCCAGATTAAGGAGATCTCCCAGCAGGTCTCCCTGGGACGGGATGACAGCAGCGACTTCATTTGCTGCACCAGCAGAAACGGCATCAGGGCTCTCACTCTCTGCACTATAAAAGATTTTTAAAAAGGAAACAAAAAATGACATCTGGTGTTGTTATTGACTTTTTTCAGGACTCTACTAATGCTATAACGGAAATTAATCTACGGTACATTTTACCCATCTGTGAAACACCTCAATGATTAACACTGTCTACACCAGAGCAGTGGGCTGTACTCAGTACAGTAATTTACTGAGAGAGCAGGGGAGGTTTGATGTTGCTCAACACACCAAAGTGTTGCTGGACTGTAACTAGAGCCACCAACTTCAAGGGGACATACTATGTAAAATTGACCTTGTCCTAGTTTTGTATACATGTTTGTGTCTCTGGTGTATCTCCCTACACCAGAAACCAGATTCAAGAGCTGATTAGACAATTTATGACCTGCCAAAAAAGAACCAACCTGATCAAAAGCAAACCTCTGCTGCTCTGTGTTCTGCCTCACTGAGTAGCTGAGTTTTAAATTCACAATCACACAAATTAGGCAATGGATCAATCAGATTAGTATGAAGTTTTCATGTTTACTGCATATGTCTCAGGCCATGTCATTCAAGGAGTTAATGAAATTCAATAGAAAAACTGTCCATTTTAGTTTTAGTGCCAGCTGTTGAAGTGATCACTTTTGCTAACTGTAGCTTTGCAGAACAGTTCATGTCACCGTTGATAAGTGATGCTGTGTCTCTGGTTTGGATTATGGTTGATAAATTATGGATGATAATTCTCATCAGATGACTATTACTGTTGTCTTAATAACATAATAATGAAGGGAACTCACAGAGGAGCAAAAAAAGGAGCACATTTCACATCAAGACGTCAAATGATGGAATAAAATGTTTAATTTGCATAAAAACCCTCTCAAATTAATTACTTAGCAGATAGCTGTCACTCAAACAGATTTTTAATTAGACCTTTATTAGCCGTCTAATCATTGCAGCCATGGAGTGCAGAAATAACACAAACAAACTTGACAGTAAAGATTAGGGTATGGGTAAAGAACGTTTTTTTCACCTGCAGGTTATTTAGAGGCTCCATCTTCATTACAGGTCCAACAGTATTGAGGGGAAGGCTCACTTCAATATTCTGGTTGGGGCTGAGAGGAGACGGTACCTGTATTGGACCAGCTGGAGCAAGACCAAAGCTAAAGGGAAAATCAAACTGAAAATGAATGCTGTGTAAATGTAAATGGGTCGTTCTGTTTATTAAAATGAGCAGGACTTCTTACCTGTTTCTGTTAAACTGGATGGCAAAACCAGTCATTACACTCATTGCTTTATTGGTGATGGTCATTTCCATCTGGATGACTCCAGCACGACGAACAAAGGTGCCTGAAATCTCCAGACCTTTAGCTTTCATGGCCGGGAGCCAAACCTGAAATGAATAAAGAATTTTACATTCAGTGTCAAGTAACTTCCTTTTTGTGTTATGTTTCTTTTCATATCATTTAAGCTCACAGTTTTGGGAGGACAGAAGGAGCCTAGAGGCATTCCAACTCCACCACCAAGATCAAAAAGGTCCTCCAGACCTCCACTCACAGGAGCACTGAAAGCAGGTGGCATTGCAGCCGGTGCAGCACCAAAACCAGCTCCCATCTGTGACACAGCACAGCATGTTAGTTTTAATGTTACTCTGATTCAAACAAAGATATCTTAATTCAACAGGAGGGAAATGTCTTACAGCAGGACTTCCTCCAAGGTCTCCACCAAGCTGAAACAAACAAAAAATTACTGACATTAAAATGTTGTTGAACAGATAAGTTTGGCAGATTTGATGTGAATGGAAAGATGACAGGAGAGGGCAACAGCAGGGTGAGTCAGTGACATCTATGGGGTTTGATCTAACACCACAAAAACAGCAGCAAAGATTTCTCAATTTTTAACCTCTGTCTACCATGGTGGTTTTTAGAACTGCTAAAAGGAAAGTGCTGATCAGAGGGGGGAAACCTGGATCTACATAAGGCTAATGCTGGTCTGAACTGGTCCAGAGAGGACCAACCTCAGTCAGACTGTTTTCTGGAGATGAAGAGGACTGATGTGGGAGCGGAGGTGACCGAGGAGTGTCGGACCGCAGAGGAATGGGTGGCTGAGCGACCGCCCAGAAAGAGGAAAAGAGATGGATTCAGTGTTTTCAACAACATGCATTCCTGACATTATATCATAAAAACTGGAGGATGACATATACAGTGAAAAATTGTATCGTCCTAAAATGACACATTCATAAGTGTTGTTCCCTTTCCCTCCATGCAGTTACCGGTTCAGATTCATCCCCCATCTGCAGGTGCAGCATTGAACAGAGGACAGGAAAACACAAAGAGTCAAAGGAAAAGTGGAAGAAAAGAAAAGGAACGAAAGGCATCAAAGAGAAAATATTAAATTCAAAAGTTCACTTCAGCAATGGTTTGTAGAAAACTCCTACCAAGCTGTCCAGTCCTCCTCCCAGCAGGTCCATTGCACCCAACTGCATGCCACCAGAGTGTGGTGGTGGTCCTGTGGTGGCAGGTGGTGTCAGATCCAGATTAAGGAGATCTCCCAGCAGGTCTCCCTGGGACGGGATGACAGCAGCGACTTCATTTGCTGCACCAGCAGAAACGGCATCAGGGCTCTCACTCTCTGCACTATAAAAGATTTTTAAAAAGGAAACAAAAAATGACATCTGGTGTTGTTATTGACTTTTTTCAGGACTCTACTAATGCTATAACGGAAATTAATCTACGGTACATTTTACCCATCTGTGAAACACCTCAATGATTAACACTGTCTACACCAGAGCAGTGGGCTGTACTCAGTACAGTAATTTACTGAGAGAGCAGGGGAGGTTTGATGTTGCTCAACACACCAAAGTGTTGCTGGACTGTAACTAGAGCCACCAACTTCAAGGGGACATACTATGTAAAATTGACCTTGTCCTAGTTTTGTATACATGTTTGTGTCTCTGGTGTATCTCCCTACACCAGAAACCAGATTCAAGAGCTGATTAGACAATTTATGACCTGCCAAAAACAGCCCTTTATCAGCTTTGTAGTTCTACTGTTTACTTTTAAAAACAAACTCGGGGCCTTTTTTTGTTTTAAACTGACAACATAAAGTTTGTAACTGTTGAAAACAACAGCAAGTAGAAGTAATGTGTTGAAGGCAGAAAGCTGCATGGTCTGACACTGCTGGAGAAATGTTACCCAGCAAATGGTAGTGGAAGGTAAACATGGCAGCAGCATCAGAAAAAGCTAGGTCGGTGAAAGTAAACAAACACCTTTGGCCTCCAGCATTAAAAAAAAAAAAAAAAAGGAAAATGACTACCGATCCACCAGATCCTGGGAGCCTCTTGTGCTGCCCCCTGCCCTCCACAAAGGCACTCGGAGGTTTGTGGTAGACAGAGGCTAGAGTACCGATGTGGCAGATGAGTTCCTCCAGCAGAGTGGGCTCAATCAGATCCGTCTCCTCAGAGATCAGGGGCTTCTCAGCCAGAACCACCTCCTTGGCAGCCACAGGGTCTGTGGACAGCAGACGCCAGTAGATGTAGCCACGGTCCCTGAGGTCTGGGTTATCAGAATCCTAAAAAAATATTGGAATAATTAAGGGTGATTATTCACGTTTTGATGAAAGCTTGTGTTTGTGTTGTTCAGCTCCATAAACAGGTCCAATACTCCTGTGTACCACAAGGTAATAAGAATACACTTTAAAAAGTATTTCAACGATCTGAATCTAAAGATGAGAACCTCTAGATGTAGTTATTTGTCCTCACCTGTGTGGCCAGGCTGAGCACCTGCTGCACTAACTCCTGGGTCTCTGTTGGCTTCTTAAGGAACAACTTGACGATGGCTGTCCGCAGCTGCAGCTGCACCTGTTGCGAAGGGAGCCCGGAGGATGAAAGGACGCCACGTACAGACCATAGCAAAAAAGGCACACATATCGTTTAGACAAACAATAAAAACAAAACTACAAAAAAAAAACAAAAAAAACGAGATGTCCAGAATGCTTTTCTAGTTGAATAAATGTGAGTGGAGGAGTGGAGAAGTGCTGAGCAGAATGACCTGATGTAGAACCGTAATTCTCAGTGCTTCATTCAGTGCTCAGTAGTTTGCAAATACGTTAAAGGTCAGTCTGGGAAAATACGCAATATATGTTAGATACAGAGGTGGGTAGTAACGAATTACACTTACTCCATTACATTTACTTGAGTAGGTTTTTCAAAATAAAATACTTCAAGCAGTAGCTTTAAATCACTATACTTTTTACTTTTACTGGAGTAGATTTATGAAGAAAAAACAGTACTCTTACTCCGCTACATTACGCTATACAGAGCTCGTTACAGGTATACTGGATAAAGCTTTAGCTATATTCTCTATTGATCCATGATCAAGTATCTCTACTTTTATTTTGTCAGAGAGTAACTTCCGCCCAAGGCTCTACCACGCGACTGTGACCAATGAAATGTAGTTCTTGCTGCGCAGTCTCGTCACGTGACCATACTTGATCTCGGCGGCAGGATGGATTCTTTTAGCGGTCAATATCCACCACAGCAGAAAATGGCAGAGGACAAGGAGGCACACCCTTGGCCTCATATTAAAAGTACGTTTCCGTTACAGTGTGGAACAGCAGTTTCATCATGTGGTCTTCTGTGTCGGCCCAAACAGACGGATATTTCAGCTTTCAAAAGCTCATCGTCCAACTTGAGGAAACGTTGCGATAAGTTTGACCTACAAATCTTTTTTTTGTTTTGTTTTTTTGCTGTGGATAGGCGAATGTTTGTCCTGTTAGGTTACATGAGTGCTCTGTGCTGAGCTCGATCTGCTTGTAGCATTAATTAATTTATATTTTTTATTGAAGTACTTTAACTTACCTAAAGATGATTTTATTTTAGGGTATTTAATTCATTTGTTTTATTAGTTTGTTGATGGGATAAATTCTCCTCTGTAATTGTGTTTATCTAATTGAATGCACATAAAAAAATCTAAAAAATAAATGTTACTCAACAGTTACTCAGTACTTAAGTAGTTTTTTCACCATGTACTTTTTTACTCTTAGTTACTCAAGTAACTATTTGGATGACTACTTTTTACTTCCACTTATTCTAATATTATTCTGAAGTAACAGTACCTTTACTTAAGGACAATTTTTGGCTACTGTACCCACCTCTGGTTAGATATAAATAATAAACCCCAAACTACGAGTATGGCATAAGAGTAACTTCATGGCACGTTGAAAAAGTTATTCAAAGTGTAATTAAGAAACACTAAATGCAGTACCGTATTTTTCCTTCTATATGTCACTTTTTAGTAGTTTTTCTGGTCCAGCAACCCATATTCCGAACTATTAAAATTAGTGCCGAATACCATCTATAGCCACAAGGGGGCATCGTCTACACTCGCGACAACTGAATGCAGCTACTGCACTAATTAAATAATTACACAAATAAAATCATTAAGACGTTCCTAAAGACAAAAAAAGGCCACACTTCCATATGGACTTCCACAGAGAATGCAAATAAAGTCCCGAATGAAAATCCCATACTGAAGATCATAATATATATAAAGCCAAACCACAATGAAGCAACAGATAACAGACGAACAGACTGGAACTGATGCTGCTGGTGAGGCTGACAACAGCCAAGCAGAGGAGGCTCTTCATCTTCCTCTGGAGATGGCATCAGCGTTTAGCAGCGACAACAAGGATGAATGGGAACTTGTTGGCCTGTTATGCCATTTTGCATGTTACTTTTGTAACTGATTTAATTTAGCACAGATTATGTTGCAGCAGTAGTTCTGTACCTCTTCAGTGTATTTGTATGGATTTTCATTTTTATTTTCCCAGTGGTTTGCAACATACAACAAATTGTTCTATTTACTCCTAATGTGTGCTGCCTACTGCCAGTGACATATTCCAATTACTGTTGGTCATTTAAACTACACTTTCAACACATTTTGAAAAAAAGATCCCTACTGCTCTTATTAAACACCCACACACAGACACACATGCACACACACACCTGAGTGCTTTCATCATGGAAACCTTCCAGAAAGCTCTCCAGCAGCTCATCTGCATTGTCAATGCGCTCAGCATACTCTCCCACGATCCAGATCATGGCAGCACGTGCCTCCGGCTCATCCAGAGAGTCCAGGTTTTCACACAGAGTAGCGATCACACTTTCATACCTGTCAGAAAGTCACAAACAAATTAGCATACTAAACAGACCTCTGCACAGAAATACAGACATGTAGAGTACAAGTATCATGAAATGATTTGCTTTTACTACTATCAACATAAAACTGTATTACAGTGTGTAAAGTGAAGGTTGGCTCAGAGAAACCAAAAGACGAAAACCTTAGGCTCTAACAGAAACTGGTAAAAACTACAGTTTAAACTTTCTTTATCATAACAGAGAAAAGTTTAACAGGGCAGTGACTAAGTGACTCATGGCTGGAGGCTAGAACCAGGGTGTGGTGAAAGTTATTTGAAGCTTCTTCCTCAGAGACTCATGACTGCAAGGCTTTGCTGTACTACGGTGCGACAGTGGAGCATATTTCCCACAAAAATCTACTCTGTTGAAATCACAGCCAAAGTCACGATCCAGCACATAATGCCTGACCTTTCACCAGCACAATCAAGGCAGGATGCAGAATGCTGACTACAAATGCAGCAATTGCTGCTGGGGTTCTCACTGTGATTCCACACTTGTCTTTTTGCATTAAAGCCGAGGGAAATGTTTTTGCATAAGATCTGAGACATTTTAAAGAACAAGGCAAATGTGTAAAAAGACCGAAGGAAGGAAGGAAGGAAGGAACTAAAGACAGTCAGACAGAAAGAAGGAAAATGTTGAATTTGTGCTTCTTTCCTATTTTTGTTCAGTTTTGAGTAAAAGAAAAAAACGGAAAGACCTGTTGCTGAGATAAATCTAGAAGGATTCCATTGGAGTTGAATTAAAATGATATTTGATTCTTTCAGAATTGTAACAGAATTATATCTTACAACTTTCACGCTGACATATCTGGAAATTATTGAAATGACACTATGACCCCTGATGTTAACACAGAACCTACTTGTTGGGATATTTTCTGAAGATGTCCTTAATGACCACGATGGCCTCCTGCACCACATAGTTGACCTTGGTCTGGATGAGGTCCAACAGGGTGCTGACACAACGTTCAGCTGATTGCTATTGAGTAAAAAGAGGATTTGTCACTTAAAAAAAACAGCTGTAACAGAAATGTTAGATAACATGAAATCACTTGACTTTGTTTTAAAAGCACAAATGATAGAAGTTGTGTTAATATCACTTATGTCACTTTAAGCAGAAACGTGATAATTGTTCACACATTATCCAACTTTATAATTCAAGTAAGTTAGTGAGTCTTTTTTATTTTGATTATTGCGACAAAAACTTAATTAAATCAGGAAGCATAGCTTAATTATTTATAGCTTTGAAAGAGAAGTGACATAATGAGTCAGAAATGATAAATCTCATTGGTTGTCAACTATAGGTTGTTTTTTTAAGTTACTGCTTTACCAAAAATGAAATACAACTGGTGTTGTCAAAATTAATGCATTATTCATGTTAATTAATCTGTGAGGATTAGTTAAAATTATTTTTACATCTTTAGCCATGGTCAGAATTCTGTTATAGCAATATATATTTCAAAAAGCATTTTTGTTCCCATTTTGAATGTAATTTACCTACTTTAATGACATTTATCCTAAATTATGATCACGAATAATCATGATATATTGAGATTTATTCACAGCTATGGTGATTATTCAGATTAAACATTTTTATTGTACTTGTTGTGTTTACGTTTTAATGCCCTGACAGTCATATCAATAGGTAGACCTAAAAAAACTGTATTTTATTTTTCAGAGGACAACCATCAGTTTGTTGACAAATCGTACACATCAGAGATTCTGATGAACAATTTGGTGTTATAAACTAGAAACTACTCACCTCTACTTTAATGGCACAGCGCCCAATGGCTCTGACCGCTTTACGGACAAAGTCAACATCTACCTCCGTGGCGTATTCCTTCAGCTCAGCCAGAACCTGAGGCAGGAAAAACACATTTTGCTGTTGTGTAGTTTATAGTATTATACAGCATGTATTTACAGTATCATTAAGAACAATAATTTATTATTGAAGTAAAGATACCTGAGCAATGTTGGCTTGAGATGCAAGGCGAATCATAATGTCCAGCTTCTCCAGTTTAACATAAATTGGATCGTTATATTTAACAAAGAAAACCTTCATCTCGTGTTTCAGAATCTCGGGGCTGAAAGGAGAAAAAAGCTTCACTAAATAACACTTTTATTACAGCTTTTCAGCTGAAAAACCTCTTGCTGCAACTCACCGTCTCTGCACAATGAGATTGATGTTTCTCAGAGCCACATATTGGAGCTCAGGCTCAGCAGAGAGTAGGGTGACCAGGGGAGGTGCTAACTTCTTCAAGAGAGTGCCATAGTAATCCAGGTCTTTTGGCAGCATCTCCATGAACTTCATTAATACCTTCACTGCTGACAGCACCACTGCAGAGTTGGCATGTGAGAGCCTGGGAGTCACCCGCTCACAGATGCTAGTAGTTGTTGGTAGAAAAAGGCAGGAAATTAATTTACTTTCGGATCAAACTTCAGCAAAGTTACCAAATGTTAATGACACTGATGTTTACTTCCTACCTTTGGGATTCGCGATCATCACGAGGTGTGTAGTTGGCCAGGCAGTCAAGGATAAATATCTGGCCCCACTCTGTGCACTCATTCAGGGCTGTCAGCAACTTGTTCATGGTCTGAGGGTTCAGGTCCATTAGGTTGCTGTTGGGGTGGGACTCTGCGATCTCCGACAGTGCAGCCACTGCATTTGCTACAACCTAAGGTTAAAGAGGAGAGGAAGCACGTCATGTTGGAGCTCACAGTGCAACAGTCAGATACAGATGTGCGAGTCCTACCATAGGGTTAGAGTCAGAGATGAGGTCTTTAAGAGTGTCCAGAAAGCCTTGGTCCTCCACCAGTTGAGCGTTGATGTCATGGAGCTTTGCTACACACACTGCAGCTGTCTTTCTAACATATGGGTCTTCGTCCTTCAGACATTTCCTCAGCGGCTCACAGAGATACTCGGTGATCTTGTCTACCCGGATGCAGCCCATTGTACGAACAGCAAGGGCTCGGATCAGAGGGTTGGGGTCTTCACAGTCCTTGTTTGGTGAATCACAGACGTGATACATTATGCAGTGTTTATTTTATTTATTTGTTTAGTACTAATTATTCTGTCAAAAGGAAATTATTATAATGAGCTAACATTAACTTTCCCAAAAATAAATTATATCAAAGACATTCATTAACATGTCATGTTTATTAGTTAAAGGAGAATTAAAGGTAAATGTGACTACAATGTTGTTAATCAGTTAATGCATGAAGATAATTAAACTATTAAACCATTTTTATTTTTATTCTGACAGCAGAATATGAGATATTACACAGTCCATTGTAGATAGATCTTTTTTATGAAACCTTTTTTAAACCCTTACTAGTTACAGTATTCCTACAATATTCAAATACAGTGATGTTCCACTTGGATTTCACACAACGATCCAGAGCTGACAGAACGTACCTTAACAAAGGTGTTCACAGCCATGATGGCCATGTCTGGTTGACTCTTAGCGTAGTTCATCAGGTAGAGGTAGACCAGCTTTTTCAGTTCCAAGTTGTCCGTCTGCATACAATTCACAACATCTGGGAACAGAGCACTAAAAAAAAGAACAACATTTTAATTGATTTTTGATCTAAAATAGAAAGATTATAACTTAACTCTAACTGAGATTCAGTTATTCATTCTCGTTTTCTCACCTGACATCTTTGCCCACTGTCATTGATGCAATGACCTTCTTCACAGCTTCCTTCTTCTTTTCTTTCTTGTCACTGTTCAGCTCTGCCTTGAGCTCGAAGATCTCACCTGAAAAACACACCCAGAGGAAACAGAATAATTAGACCATCTGTTAATTTATAAGGAGTACTTAACACCTTACAAATAGTTGTTTGTAAAACATTTGAGGAGTGGGCAAACGCATGAATCAATTATCTCTCTCTGCAATCGGGTGAATACATAATGTGGAAGAAGCAGTTGTGCAAAATAAAAAATGCTGCCCTTTTGAGTTCCCAAAATCTGATGCCACAAGCACAACACTGAATTCATGCCACATCAGGTCAAATCATTAAATGCTCACATGTTGGCATAATTAATAGTTAAAGAGCAACAGACTAAAAAATTGGGCTAAAACCCAATGTCAGGCTTGGAGAAGAGTTTCACAGCTGACAACTGTTTTTTACCTGTATCAACATGCATTCAGAAATGTCTCATGTATTTGTTAGCAAAAAGATTTGGGATGACTGGCTTTTCAGAGAAAATAATAAATGACTTCTTCTTCTATACTCTTATATTCCTTAACTGCTTCAGTTTTCCAACTTGAAGAGATTAACCTAATACTTCTGAGGTGTTACTACAGTACCTCCATGGCATGGACTGCAATGCAAGAATAAAACGAGCTGGAACAACTGTAATCGTTTCAGGTTTAAACCTAAAACCACCTACTCCAGTTTCCCATGCAAAGTGAGCCATTAATCACTACCAACTTCTGAAAGAGTCATCGGAGCAGACCGCACTAAACAGCAGTGGATAAATCCATAAGGGAATATACAAACATTCTCTTTCTTAATGCACAAATTGACATACACACACTTTACAGGACTAAACATTAACCCTTATGTTTATCTTTTGTTATTACAACCTCTCTCTGGGAACCTGTGTGGCTGTGGAATATGAGAGAAAAGCCAGGAACAGCAGGAAATGTAAAATCTAGAGGTTTAAGATTTAAGAAGGTTTAAGAACAAAGGCACAAAAATAGATTACCTGTTTATGTTACCCTACTACAAATATATATTATATACATATAATAAACAACCGACTTGGCAGCAATTGGTTTATTGATAAACAACCTCTAAATTAATTATAGTCTCTACGTTTAACACATTAGGTTTTTGTAATGGTTCTGTTGTTGTTGATCCGTTATCAAACTGAATGATGATAGGATCATGTTTTTTTAAAGAATTATATAATATATAACATAACGTAATGACATCACATATAATAAAATAACAAAGACTAGTTCTTCCCACCTTTCTTGGTGGTGGTGAAGTACTTAGAGTCCGTCATCTTGGATCCAAATTGTCGATTCTCCTGCAGAAAATAAAGAAATAGTGAAAGGAATGCTGGTGAAGATTGTGTGACTTTTTATCCTCTGTAACAATCACTAGTATAGCAGGAAATACTAGAAGTGCAAGCACAGGGTTTTCCTACAGAGGAATTCCTGTGTCCTGGATGATAGTGATCCATCAACAAAGAAAACAATGGATAAGACATTATCTCCTCTGTTAAAGGTCATTGCATAATTCTTTCCATGATATAACCCCTCTGTAAAACAATACCTCAAACTAAAATGTTTATTTGTTTGTGGGGTGTAAGTAAATATTAATACATTGATATATCTTCTATCTATCTGATATATTTTGTTTCACAATACTGCAAATATTCATGGTGTTGGTTGATTTTATCTTGCTTTTATTTCTTCCTAGCAGTTACAAATGTAGATCCCTCTGTTCCAATTTTAGATACCTGATGTTAAGCATGTAACAGCATTGTGTGTTTGCTGTGCTGAAAGTTTTCCTACAATTTGTTAAATAAAAAATTCAATATATTGTCATATTTAGTATCACAGTATATCGCAATATCATAGCTTGCTCCTGTGTCGTGATATGCATTGTATCGCCAAATTCTTGCCAATAAATACCCCTATTTGAAATGTATATTTGCATTATTTTATATCAATGATGTTTAAATAAAGTTGACTTAGGATAAACTGGTGATTTTTTTTCTTTCAAGTCTCTCCTTTGATCGTACTTCTGTTTTGGCCTAGTTTATTGGTTAACAAATCAATACAGATTTGGGCGTAACTAATGGAAATTGTGGCTAGCCTCCAAGAATGCATTTGTTCAGATTTTGGCTGTAGTTTGACCTTGTGATATAATGGAGTTAAATATTTCTCCCAGTCTTTAGCAGAGGTACGGATGTGTCTGCAGTCAGAACAACATGCATATACTGTTCAACAAATAGCATGTTTTGCATTAAAGTCATCACATGACTGACTTTCTTTTTAGTACAACAAATACACCACTGCTGGTGACTTTGGTAATGAGGGACATCCTTAAGATACTTTCAATACATCTGTCAATGACCCATTAGGTTCATAAACCTTTTGTCTGTTCGTTAGTAGAATAGTTGCATTGTTGAGAGAAAAAAAAGAGAGGTTAAAGATTTTCTAGACTTGTTGAGACCAAGTTGGCAAAAATGCATATATATTATTATTATTATTCACAGTGTAAATGTGACTAAATATAAATGTGATATATCATCCTGGATAGTTCCTTGCCAGTTACTGTTACTGTTGATGTTACACAAGTAAACTAGATTAGATTAGATTAGATACATGACTGTTTGATGATTTATGCGTTACCTTTAAGTGACCCTATTAGGTGTAAATAGAAATGCATTATAAAATGATTTAAAACCCCAGAAGGTGACCCACTGTTTTCAAAACATATCTACCTACATGTGGACAAAGCACGAGTGTAATTCTCTTGTTAGAACGAGGTATCAGTTTCACTATTCACTTAGCTAAAGGCAGCAAAGAGCAAGATTTGGCTTAGTTTGTATTGAGTACTGCACAGCAATACATAGTCTATATACGTTCAATAAAGAAAAATACCTGGATCAGTGAAGATGTATGTTGAGGGTAAATAAGATGTTACCTTCAAATTCATCTTTACAATTAAATGTTGTTCTACACTTAGCTAATGTTAAAACAGGGGGATCCTACAAAGTGTTTATTCCAAGAATATGAAATAATATAAATTACAATCAGGTGAGTACACACTTAAAAATACTATAAAAACGCTATAAAAATCTGGGAAACTGTTGCCTCTCCATGGATTTCTACTCTAAATTTCAGATACTGTTGACCAGAAAACATTATGCACAGGTTACAGTAAGGCTACCACTGCACAGAAGAGACTCAGAGAGACAAATCGATGTGTTAATATCTTTTAAAGAGGAAATAGAGCTCATATAATAACTACACCTACCAAATGTGGATTATTTTCGATGTAGTTCAAAAACGTAAATTCAATTTTAAGAAAGAAACAAAGACGCTGAAAGTCTGGGCTTTTCCAGCCCTCGAACTCACCGACCTGATTACTAATGGCAAAAGTAAAAAAAAAAATTATACATTAATTTTTTACAGATTTTTTAAATTTTAACCCACTTTGCAATGACTTATTTTCAACCACACTTCACAACACGACAAGTCTGTCTGTGAACGTTTCCCCGCACTTTATATAGAGGGTAATATAATAATATTAGTTTCCTAATTCAAACTCCACAAAGGTCGCTCGTTTGATAAATAAGGTTGACCCAACTTTGCCTATATCGAGGAGAGCGCTACCTCCAGTTAATTAGCACCCAAAAGTGTTGGCTTATGACAGTATTATACGAAAATGTACATTGTATGTAAGCACCACACTGGTGCTACACTCGACACAGCACAATATAATATAAACCAATACTTGGACTGACTTACATTTCTTGAGTGAGCCACAAAGTAAATAAATGTCTGGCTAGCACGCTAGGCTAGAACGACGTCAATGTTAGCATGGCCGCAAATATTGAAATACAGTGATGTTAACGTGACGTTGGGCCTATTGTGTATCGACAGTAACGCCACGACTGTTAATATTGAATCGACTACTTACACAAAGTTGATTGGCCCATTCTTGCATGTTTTTAGTTGTTCGTGTAAGATGAATGAGCGTAGCGCTAATGGTAAAAGGTAGGTTGAGCCTGTCTGTCAGTGTCAGCCCGGACACTTCTACTGCTAACGTAGGAATGACCTTCTTAGTGCAGGCTTAAGGAAGCCTTTGTCGGGATTGTTAAACTCTTAATCTGCTGGGCCAGTTCTAGCCTCAGCCGACGAATTAGTGCAACTATGGGAGGTTAAAATTAGAGTTTGTGGAGAAAATGTTGCAGGGACCTTACCGTGACAGCCGAAGAGCAGAAGCTCTAAATGGCCTTAGTCTCCTCCCACTTGGTTTACTTCCGCCTTCCCGTGGTTTGCAAACAGAAGAGCGGCGTCAGTTTTCATTCACAGAGGGCTGTCGTGCAGCTCACTGCCACATCATAGCTGTATCATTACTATGACAACGTCATTGTGTCATATGACTTCATTAGAGATATGTATTGACAAAAAAGCAAACAGCGATAGTTGAACACATTGCATATTTTTTCATACGGGTAAACTATATACGAGTTAGCAACACCTAGCGGTTAAGTTGTTCAACATCTTTTACATCCCTTTTAAGTTCCAAACGGATTTAACAATAACAACAACAATAACAATTATAACAACAATAATAAAACACTAAGGATATATATATATATAAAAAAATGTAATATAAAGTCTAATGTAAAAACATACTGATTCAACATGTACCAGATGTCCTAATGTAAATAAAATCAAAGATAGATTTGTAAAGCACCATAACTTTTATAACACTGACAATGATTTATAAAACATTTTTGATAGTTGAGGTATGGAACTTAAATATTTCTAAACATTGTCTTGGGTAATTTAGCCTTTATTTTTGTTCTCTTTCCTAATTTAAATGTTCTTACTTTACAATTTTTACAACAAACATTACCTAGTTTACCTGGCTGTGTTTTTCTTTTCTTTGCCTTTATCTATTTTAATAAAAGTTCTAGCTTATTGTGTTTTACAGTTTCTTCTATATATGTCCTTGGATTCATTTGTATTGCAAATTGACATACTGTATATAACTATTTGTTATAGTTGGAAGAATGGATGGAAGAAGGACCAACCCGGACAGATTTTTTGGTAACGACTGGAACGGACACAGGCAATGATGACAAGATAATGCGAAAATGCAGGTGTGGCTGGGAGAAGCTGACAACTTTCAGAGGCCTAAGGATCCACCAGGAAAAAAAGAAGTGCGGAGTGAGTGGCCAGCAGAAACAATGCACCGC